TTATCCCGAGCGTTGTGCGTTGAGCTGACATATGGCACGGCATGAACTGCTTTCAGCCGCCATATTTTAACGCGATCACGTTTAGGAACTCGTGTCGAAGAAAATCCGGCGTCGGCGGGACCAAAAAGTTCATGATGCAGCGCATGCAGCCACGTGTGACATTACACTTGGCTGTAACGTCATGACCTTATCGACCCGCCAAACTTGGCGGAAAAAAGTTTCCGCTAAATTGAGCGAAAATTTTGCCCGCCAAAATTAGCAAAAACTTTCCCCGCCAAATTAACCCGAATATTTTTCTGACAAATTTAGAGCAAAAATTTCACGCCGAATGTAGTATAACATATCCCGCTAAATTTTTCGGAAAGTTTAGCGAAACAGTTCCCGCTAAATTTAGTGGGTCGATAGGGTGATGACGTCCAAGCCATGTTTGAAATCACGTGACACGTGACGCTGCGGGCATACGCTTGCATGGCTGGGGAACGAACGCGGGTTTATCTGAGCAGCCTTTGCGAACGGAACCTTATGACGCAATCGCGTTCCACTCTTAAAGGCGAAGCTTAAAGGGGTACTGAATAGAAACTTAAAATATACCTCTCACGTTCAGAAAAAAGTGAAACATGACCAACTCTATCTGCCAATGACAATCGCATTCTTGTACCTCAAACGGATGGCTGTATTTTTCGTTCTAAATGTTCGAGTCTGGCGAGCACTTTTACTATCAGCCATCGAAGAGCGCGGTTCGCCTCTCGAGTAAACCCGTCGCGCCCGCGACACGCCGGCGACGTCATCGGCCTCCTTATGGCCAAGCGTACCGTAGTTATGAGCGATGACACTTGCTGACGTCTACACGTTACCACCTCGCTCAGTCAGAGTGCCCAAGGGCTGTAGCATATCACCGGGAGATAGCGGAGCCGCACCCACTATGAAAACACGTAGTGGGTCGTCTGCTGCGCAACTTGGCCGATATAGCGACATCGGCAATGTCGGTTTCGGACGCGAGCTCGCTGCTCTTTAAACAGGACGACATCACTGCGAGCCGGCTAAGGTTTTCTAAACTTTTAGAGCCCACCGCACGCGTGGCAGGAGCGGGCTCGCTCTTAATTGTGTTGCTTGTGTGTTTATACAGCTTTGATGCTAGTACGCCTCAGCAGGTGACTTTCCTCTTAGCTGTAGATGAAAAAATTATCCAGCGCAGTACAACCGGTAACCTGGGGTTTTAACGTGCATCACGCAGTAATGATTACACGAACGCGTGCCGGTACGAAACTCATCGAGATCGAAACGGGCAGGGGATGGGAATCGAACGCAGGAGGTTCTGTAGCCCAAGCTTTCGCTCCACGCTCCGAGCTGAGACGCGTTAGCCCATGAATCGTCACACAGAAACTACCGCGCTCAAAAACGAATACCGACACAGCTCTGCGACGTCAACCCGGGTCACTTCGAGGTCGGCCTTCCTCGGCGAGAACGACATCAAAAGCAGCGCGCGCCTTGTTGAAAAAGATAGTTAGTCAGCCCCTGACGTGCAGTGACGTCAAAGAACGAGTGGAAGCCAACGTTATTAGATTAGCTCACTTATGAAACTGATCATAGACGCTGCATGCACGAGCAGCACCCGCCTCACTCACCACAACTCGCCTCCCGTCGTTCGACGCGCCGGACGGCTGTTATGGTAACGGCAGTGTATTCTATGGAATACGTACATTTCTAAGTGCAGCGTCTAGATGGCGTTCCACCGTGCTTTATGGTGCTCCATGGAACACGCAGTTTGCAAACGAAAATCTAGATGGCTCTTTGAACGACGGGAGGCGCACTGAAGTGAGTGAAGTGGGGCACCTTCTTCCGCGCGAGTTCCAGAACTGAGGTAATTTATTAACGTTGGTGGAAGCCACTGACTGGCGCAGTGAACCCAAGGTGGTCAACTGTGCTTTGGTTTTCTTTATCAAACTCTCGGTACTACGTTCTGGCCTAGGTAATCTGTACTAGTAAGCGCACTCACATAGTGTCGCGAACGTCGGAGGCCGATGCCGTCACGACATTCCATTGAAGCTTCCTAACCCACAACCAGGCTTTTTTTTATTATTATTTAATTCAACTAAAAATATGCTTTCTTGCAGTTTACAAAAAAAAAAAAAAAGATGTTTCTGAAGTTGTACTGCTACCTACGTCATAATAAAGCAAAGAAATGAGCTCCAGAATTTTGTTTACGTACCACTTCAAGCGTCCCCCCGGTTTTTGTGGAGAGTGCACTCTCGACAAAAGCTTGGCGACCCACGCAGGCACATGACCTGAGCAAGACCTGCGCAAAACTCCCTCTAAATGTATGTGAGCATGCAAGTACATACACTACAGAGCCATACAGTTCGGGGTGAAGAAAGGTCCTATTACCGCCCCCTTTCGCGTAGCCTGCACTAAAATAGTACACGAAAAACAAATGTTTGCCTAGCCTAGCTGGCAGCATGACAGCCTCACGTTCTTCTGGCACTGCCAGGATAATGTGAGGTAGTTTGAGGTTGTTATCGGTAGCTTATTCAAGAAGGTTCTACAGTGATCACGAAAGAGAAACATTATTTTGAGTTCGAAAGTTTCCGAACTGTGAAACACTGCAAAATGCTACAGTCAACCAAGCTAAGCGAGTCTGTCTGTATCTCGTCGTTGAGATATTTGCTCTTCTTTTCAGGTATAAGTTTACATCATAAATTTTGTTTACTGTATTTAACCTGCTTCCCAGTCGATAAAATAACAATAAAATAATAAAAAAAAAGGAATCAACGGTAACATTTTTTTTGTAATACTGCTTACTAGGGCTGGGAAATTGATCGATTAACCTACCGATTAACCGGTGGATGTTTTAATCGCGATTAATTAATATTAACCGGATAATCTGTAAAATTTTTACGAACCCAAAGACGGTAAAATATAAGCGCTTTCACCACACAGACGTGGGCGAGTACACGTGTATGAAGGAGAGACTTTTGGTAAAATTTTAACCTAAAATAAACTGTAGAAACGATATTTTTAACTCCAGACAAGTGCAGAAAGTTACACGCGCCCCGGCCACTTCAATGCCGTTCCAGTGTCAGTTTAGATCATCAGAGAGTATCGTGAAGTATCAAAGGAGGTCGGGTCACTCTTGCCGAAGAATATCAACGAACCTCTTTGCATGCAGTTGAAGTAATAAATGGTGAGAGTGTTTTTGAATTGTCCCCAGCTATACATCGAGGTTGGTTCATAATCAAAATCTTACATTGCGGCGCTCCCCCCCCCCCCCCCCCCCCCCAATCATGTATTAAACAAAAGCCAAAAAAAAGTGTAATCTTGATTAAAAAATTTGTATGCATAGAGATGAACGAGATAGATTAATCGATCATTTAATCTAATTATACAATGAAAGGCTGGCGAATAATCGGGTTACAAATTTCAATCGACGCCGAGAGGTAATATTTACCACTTAGCATTGTTATTATCATCCTTTCCGTCTGCGTGCAAAGGCTCAACGTTCCATGTATAAGGCTTTCCGCTGATAACCACTGAGGCGGAAAAGGCCGAGTTACTGTTCTGCCGACGCCTGCGCGGTGTCAAATATTCCGTAAAATCGAGGTACTGCGCATGTCCAGAACGCATGCCACAGCCCAGTGGACAAGAATGGAAGCGTCCAGAGGGCCATGAGTAGAATAGTCTAAAGCAGTGGTTCTCAAATGGGGGTCCGCGGACCCTCCGGGGTCCGCGAAGGCATTCTAGGGGTCCGCGTTAATCTGTCAAGCACGGCAATAAAAGTTTTTTTTCCAGGTCGAGAAGAAATGTTTCAGTTTTTGGGCGAGTTTCCTCGTGTGCATGTTAATAAGAAAGGTCTACTTTACACTAGCCCTTACTGAAATCCATTTATTCAATTCATATTATAATTAACCTATAACTTCTCCCTCCCCTCACCCCGAACGGGGTCCTCCATCATCTCCGCTGATCCGAAAGGGGTCCGCGAAACATCAATGGTTAAGAACCGCTGGTCTATAGTGTCTATGCTAACAGGTTGCTATCAATTAAACAGGTTAAAAATTCTGTATGTCTCAGTTTCTGGGAGTCGTAAAAATTAGTTGATGTGCAGTCATTTTTGAATAGTGGTTTAGGCTTATCTTGTAGGCCTAAGCTTCGCGGGCACCATAGGAGACGGAAATCAGAAGAAAACACATAAGATCATGATTGATTCCAGGGTCCTTCAAAGAATTCAAGGCAGCTGTCGTACTGCTGCTTTGAACTTCAGATTTTGTTTTTTGCTTAGTTTTGTTTTTGTTTCTGTCCTTGACGGAGATCTGGAGCGTGCTTATCAAGTGGGTCCGGACAGCCACTCACACGCTCAGCTGGTTATCAACAAGGCCTCCGCTACTGTTCAAGTGTGAGCCAACACCGCCTAGAAGACGCGACGCCGTAGTGCTGACATTTTGTCGTCACCAGCGAAGGCCAACGCTGGACACAGATTGGGAACGAGTGCTACGTCAGTGCTCAACTTTGAGTCAAGTTTGAGCCGAACGCTGAGGCAATGGTCGTGTCCAATCTGCGCTCAGCGTTGGCTTTCGCTGATGAAGACATCTCTATCAGCGCTACGGCCTTGTTTTCCATAAAGTGTTGTCTGAGCTTCCTAAAAAAGGGAGGGAAAGACACGAGGGGAATGAGGCGAAGCGTCTTCGCGCGAGCCGAACATGAACGGCCGGGCGCTTTCGACCTTCCTCCCATGGCGACGGTGGCGGCGGGACGCGGGCAGGGTAGTTGAACAGGCACACCCTGACGAGCACCAACGTCACTAAAAAGCAGAGGCAGCGAGGAGGAAAGCCGTGATGTTTGCCTGGTTCGTGTCGAAACAGAAGACGGACGGGCGGACACAAACTTTCACTTCATATGCCTGTGTTATTTCGCTTCACGCGCTTTGAAGTATCCTGTTTGGACTTGCCTTACGACGACATTAATATTGAGACAATTTCTTGAACACCGATGAAGAAAGGGAAGGTTACCTGCACAATGTCAAGCAGCAGTCCCGCAGCAACCATGCCGGCCCCAGCAAGCATGAACGTAGGGAACACCTGATACAGGAATGCGGAACACGACTCCTCAGGTGGAACATCTAGCAAGCACGAGGATTCGCTGAGGCGCAAGACGTCCACAGGCAATGGTTCGTTCCGAAGCTCTCCATCTCCTCCGCCAGTCTCCTGAATGACCGCTGGTGGCTTCTTGACGAATGCGGCCCTGGAGGCAGGCAAGCGAAGGTCCTCTACGACACGTTCATGCTCGAAGATGCCGTTGTTCGGAAGATCCTTTTGGAGGCTGCCAAAGAGGAAAAAGATACCGGCTCTTAATAAAGTAATATTTCAATTTCGGGTTCAACTGCAAGCTCATCGATAGCAGTAACCATGTAGATGCTTCCGCGCTAAACCGATAAAAAAAGCTTTCTAGATTATTTTCACAACAATTACCCAATTTAAATAAATAACACCACAATAATTTATATATTTATTTGTATAATGATTCAAATCACCTCGACTTTTATTTTCCGTTTGGTATGGAAGTACACCTCCAAAAACCAACGTATAGGGCTTTGCGGAACGTTCAGCCTGCGCTTCTAAGTACCGCTACGTCAGTGGCAAGCAGACACGCCAGTCGAGCCGGCAGTGTTTAAAATGGACTATTCCGAGCATTTGTTTCGTGCTGCTGCGCGGGTGCTGGAGCGAGCTTCCAGAGCACTCATTTGACACCATGGAACTGCTTGTGATAAGCTGGGAACCAATCGTACCGTCCGAAGAGTAAACCCCAGCTTGCCGCTGGCGTAACCTTTTCGTTGTTGCAAGTCGAGACTTTCAGTTTGAAAAACATGGAGAGAACCAAAATTTAAAATGCGATAACTTCCCGACAAAAAGTTGCTTTGGCCTAATATTTAGGATACTATTTCAGAGATGTGTTGGTATGTTTAGAGGCCAGGCGCACTTGGCGACTTTTACGTTTCTGCTCGTCTAATCAAGCACATGCGTTTTCAAGCTTGTCAAAGCTACGCACCCACGAATGTCGAACACGCTTCCACGCATCAAGTACGGGTAGCTGCAACTCTCTTCTGCCAACGCCATCTGCTGCGCCTGTACTTCTGGAACGTCATTTGTACGTCAACCGAGATGTCCGCGAATGAAAAACACAAACATGCGAGTGAACGCGCCAAAAATGCCTAAAACTATTTCTTTCGTACTCTCGAAACACACCATACAGATGGTAACCCAGGATCACGAGCATGGGGGCAAATATGGGTGATTACGTTATTCGTAAAAACACGAGAGGGCGCCACCGCCACAACTTTGGCTACACTGTGCCAGTTGTTGATGATAGGTTTCGGTGATTTTACGGCAAAAATTAATATTTGTGACCGAAATTTCGATATTGTGCGTAAGAAGCAGGGCGGATAGGCCATTGTTGTCAAGGGTGACAGTCAAATATGAGTCGAATAGTTACTGTTCTTTGCGCCCAGCAGAATTTATTATACTAGAGTCTTCATAGTAAGCGCTTGGACCATCGTGAAAGGCGGACCACAGTGACGCTCTTGGCCAAGCACGTCGCCAATAGAAAGAGTAACGAAACGACGTCGATCTGGAATTTTACTGTTCATGTTACTTATTTCTTGCACAAAAGTGCCGTTTAGGGTGGGGGGGGGGGGTGCAAACTGAGAAAGAGAAGTAATTAGCATTAATGCTCTCCCGAGAAACACAAATATGGCAGTCGCCCCTGTCCCATGGGAGGTTAAATTGATGTCAGTTCCATCGAATGGTATTTATATAATATGCGACCCAGCTCGAGGTTCGTGGCGCATGAGTACGCGCTGCGCCAGGGGTGGGGCGTGTATACTGATTGGCCAATCGCTGAAACGTCATTCGAAGCAAGTGACATTCAAAATCTCGTCTTAGAAAAGTGTAAAATAATAAAGGTTATGAAAAAACAACAGAAAAAAAAAACCGGATATTACGACTTTTGGTTGCCATTATAGACCTTTCAGCCTCTGTCGCATGGGCGCTGCCATCTTGGAATAACATGACACACCCGCCATCAGGTGGCTTCAACTCGTCGCTCCACTCCCCCTCCGCGCCTTGGCGAAGGCGTTGCATTTGTGTTCTGCGTCGAGTTTCACCGCGTTTCTCGAGTTATTGTGGAAGGTGTCGCCTGATGCTGACATTTACACTTCGTCGCATGCCATCTCTATGTGAACCACGACATCTGCAGTTTATTTTGTATCACACGTCGTCTATTCTCAGCCTCGGCGTACAGGATACGTATGAGAATGGAGGAAGTACAGGAATCAGCGTTAGCCCTGCCGCACATTGAGCAAAATTATTTACAACTAAAGTGTGCTCAGTGATAGTGGCGGAATATTCGGAATAAGTATAGCGCATTGTATATTTATAATCGCGTATTTAGGATCTTAAGAAATGTGACCAACTGAGCTCAGTTGGTAGAGCTCTCCACTGAAAATGGAGAGGTCCCGGGCTCGATACCCGGACCAGGCCGATTTTTTTCGCAGGCCATGTTAGAAGCATGCATATATTTATGAAGTGAAGAAGTTTCCATCGTGGCTGAGACGTGTACTCAGAAAATTCTGTCATTATATTCAGTACGGCGTTTTTTTTTTTTTAATTTTTTTATGAAGTTGTGAGCCACGTGATTGCAGCTTTAAAGGGACACTGACAGGGCACTCATGCGTGCCGAGGTTTGACTCGAACATAACCTATGACATTCCGACTGCCCAGAACGCAGCTTGCGGCTCGAAATTCGTATTTTTCCCGCCCGAAAGCTGGCGGTCGAGAATTGGCCGGTTTCAGGCGCTCTCTCTTTCTCTTTTCCACGGTCACGTGCGCTTCGAACTGATGCATACCAAATATACTCGTAGTCGTGGGTCGTCTTAAATACACATTCAAAAAAAAAAAAAGAAATCGAGTTTCCTTTTTGTTTTGTTTGTTTAAGATTGCAAACACGTTGATCGAAAAAAAAAATAATTGTGCGACATATCACGGAATGTAGACTTATAAGTCATTCTCAATATGGAGGTATCTAGCGCACGCTGGACGACGTGATGGAGGCGCGCGACGGACCAACGTTGCGACGGACCGCTACTTTGGAAACTGTGGTTCGTGGTACCGACCAATCGATCTTCAAGTGCAGAACGGCGAGGGAAAAAGATGTAAGTACGACACATTCGCACGACAGCCCGTTGAAGCAACGTCCTCGTGGTCGTCGTGTGCTTCATACAGTCAAAAAGCGGTGGAACTAAAAAATAAAAATACTGGATAAGGGTGTCAACGTTGCCGGAAGCCACGTGACTTCCGGCAACGCTTTCCTCCGAGCCTTCGTGCGCATGTTTCCGGTTTGGTTTCCAGCAGTTGCGTGCTTTTACTTTATTAAAAATATGGGTTACTGTGTATCAAAATATTGATTGGGTAGTTTACGAACATCATATTAAAGCACCTGGCAAACAAACAAACAAACAAAAAAAACTGTGTGTGCGTGTGTGGGGGGCCGAAGGGGGGGGGGGGGGGGGGGGGGCTGGGGGGTCAGTCTCCCTGCGAGTGGCCATCGGCGTGCGCAGGTTCGCCGATTTTTATCGTCTTTAGGGCCTTTGAAGGTCTTTGATGCATATGGTTTTAACTTTTAAGGCATTTGAAGTACCCATGACAAATATACTATTATTTTTGGATTAAGGTTGAAATTGTTATTTTTATGGAGGTTAACCGCCATTGCCCGAAATGCGTACAGTGAGAAGCGGCAGCCGTTCCCCAGCACTGCTTCTAATGACATGTATGTTAAGAGCGGCAACAAGATACAGGCTTTAATATAAAATAAGAAACCACTTCCTGCTTCCACAAACAATATATGTTTCCATTTGGGCCATCGCACAACCTTACCGAAAAGAGGAGGATATTTATTATTTGTACAGAAACCAGGACAGTACAAGAGGCGCTAATAAAGTTCGTATTATGGTTACTAAAAAATAGAAATTAAGCAATGAAACTGGTAGGATTTAACGTTTCTTTACACATTCGTCACCAAATTTAACACACTTTTGCGAGCGATGAACAACCTGCCGGAAACCATTTTTATAGAACTCCTCGTTTTGAGTGTTTAGAAATCGCTCCACATCAGCAACCACTCGCGCGTCACCCTTGAATTGCTTTTTACGCAAAGGAGCCTTTATGCGAGGGAAGAAAAAGAAAGCTGGGAGGTCAAGTGAATCGGGGGGATGACGCAAAATTTCGTAACGTAAGGAGGACGCATGGGACAACGTCGCCTGCGCCCAGTGGGCCGGGGTACTGTCATGAAGCAGACGGACGTCTTTCGTGACCTTCGCTTCGCGCTTTGTCCTGACAGCTTCTCGCTACTTTATCAGAAGCTCACGCGATGGTTATCCTGTACCGAAAGTAGAGTGATGTTGATGCCTGTTTTTCTTTTTTTTCTTTAGATTTTGGTGCAATTAATACGAACTTTATGAACGCCCCTCGTACTTTTAAAAACACTGTGTCGTGTGTATTGGTATATGTACAAGCTCTTACGTCAACTAATATGCACTTTCATGTTTACTGGACACACTCAAAAATGTTTACTACTTGAGCCCAATAAAATAAAGAAAAATACCCGATCCACTCTTTTCTTTTTCTAGTGGAAGAGCCTTCCTTTCCGCAGAAGGGTCAGCAAGCAGCAATTCATTGCGAATATTACGTTACTTTGGATGCCTAAAGGTTGCGACGAGCACCGTGCGGAAAATAAGACCAGCATATTTACGCAATTTGTGAGATGTCCCGGCTCATGACGAGGATGCCTCATTGATCTTGCATTAATGTATGGGAGTCAGTCGTAGAAGATGTTCACAAACTACAAACAAAACAAAGTACTAATAGTCTTCTTTCTTTTAAAAATCAAACGCGCACAATTTTCTTTATCATTGCTGTACACTCTGAAGTGCGGGTACCGCCACAGAATCAGACTACGTACTGGTAGAAACAGCGCCGCTACAATAATTATCCTGCAACTCAAGGTGCATAGCATCTGTGGAATGTTTTGGAAATAAACCTTCCTGAAATAAATTAAAGCCCAATTTCGTTCTGAAAATTGCTATGTGGGTTGCGTTTT